TGTATTTAGTGGGCACATGGGAGAGGGCCGTCTCTGTTTCAGCTCCCAGGCTTTAGAACTCCCTTCCACAGGAGGCCAGCCTGGCCCCAACATTGTTGTCCTTCTGCAAGCAGACAAAGACCTTTCTCTTCAGGCATGTCTTTCCTTTAGTGACTGGGTGTCTGTGTAGGGTTTTTAAATGGATTGTTGTGCCTTACTGCTTTGAATGTGTTTTTGGTCTTGCTTTTGTTTATCGTTTCTTGGCTGGTGTTTGTTTGATACTTTTTAATATTTGCATATGTACTGTTTTTAGCTTTAAATATTGTTCCTTTAGTGACTGGGTGCCTGTGTAGGGTTTTAAATGGATTGTTGTGCCTTACTGCTTTGAATGTGTTTTTGGTCTTGCTTTTGTTTATCGTCTCTTGGCTGGTGTTTGTTTGATACTTTTTAATATTTGCATATGTACTGTTTTTAGCTTTAAATATTGTCAGATAATGATGTAAGTCACCTTGGGTCCTTTCTAAGGGAGAAAGGTGGAATAAAAATAAGTAAAATAAAGAAAATAAATGGGATCTGGTGAAGACTTTTGCTAGCTTAACATATTCCTCTCAGACTGCTAGACTTTGTGAACTTCAGATTTGTATTCTCTTTTAAAGAATCTTGTGATTTGAGTGGCAAGATATGAAAGTTGGCTCTGTGTGTGTGTGTGTGTGTGTGTGTGTATTCTTCATTCTACAGCCATGGCAAGGGCCCTGAAGTGCCATTTATACAAGCAGTGGTTTCAGTTATATGGAATTGCTATTAGAATTGTTTTCTCAGAAGATGCTTATAGGGTTTTTTTTTAAAGTGTAGTATTTAAGTGGGATTTTCTTCTGTTGGGAGGTTTGCATTATAGCATCACAGAAATGGAAACCGGAATTTAGTGAATTACCTAGAAGTAAAGGTAGATGGTGCTAGAGGTTGTCCAGGTTCTCCACTAGGCAACAGTCGATTCTGGAGAGTTTCCTCTTCCGTAGAAGTGAGAATTTGACACTATGCCCTCTCACCACTCTGAGAGCCAAAGAATGGCAGACAGTTTTCTCAGCTTCTGTAATCTTCAGGAGCAATAAGCAGAGTTTGCAGGTGGACAAATACATTCAGAGATTTCTCCTCCTCACATGTGATGCTTCTGCGTACTGCTTACCCGACAGAACACAAAGTTAAGATGGAACAGTTTTCTCCCTAGTATCTGACATAACTCAGAATTTCATTAGAGATGCTTTGGTTAAGCTTCCATGTCTGATCTTAGACAAAGAAAGAAAATACACAAGTAAACACCTCACTCGCAACTAATAGCTCATGATGACAAGAAACAGATTGGTATCTTTAAGGAGAGCAGTGATGTAGTGGAGCAGGAATAGTGGGCATTGAAATTTCAGCATCCCTCCCTAATGAATCCTAATAAATCAGGTATTATGCTATGTATGGCTCTTCTTCAGTGTGTTTGTCTGCTTATGTTCGAGATAAACATGGTAGCCTGCATTTTATTTACTGTCTGTTGGAGCATGTCTATGAGCTTGTCATGATGAGTTCTGGCATTGAAACATTTCCCACTAAGCCACTGAAAGAAAGAGGGAGAGTATATGCCTCCTGCCATAACTACCTCTGTACAGCCTTTACTTGCCCAGCTGCTATGGAAAGCCTTCACACATGCAGGAACCTCTCCTCTTCACACTTGGCACATTCCATACAAATGATAGAGGGTGTGCAGATAGCATGCTTTCCTCATCACATTGGGGCTAAATTGGATGAGTACTAACTGCATAGTGTTCCACTTCAGGCTTGAGGTGGATATTCCTCTGAAACAATTGTATTTTGGGCCAACTTAGAAGTTCCATGCACCAAAGGCAAAACTATGTATTATATTAAACAAATGACATGTGACTATGTCTCAACTTCTTTTTTAAAACTTATGCCTGGAACCTTAGACTTTTAATTAATTAGTATGTGGTAAGGCAAGGTGTAACCATTCTCAGTGAAATACCGAGTGTGACAGACATTGTTAGGGAAAAAAAAACCTCCAACTGTTACCCATGGGAGATTTTTCCTACTAAAACTAAAGCCAGCATGCAGGGGAGGCCGGTTGCAGGGTTGGAGGTGGAGGGAAGCATTTCATCAGGATTTGATAAATTTCACCAGGATCAATGTGGTGGAGGGAAAGGCTAACTTTCACCTCCTAGCAACTTTTCTCAGTGAAAAATAGTGGCAGAACACTTCTTATTGATCTTTAAGAAATAAACATAGTTACATGCGAGATATTTAGTACAACATATATTGAGTGAGTGATCGTACAAACAGTAAACGAGGGATAGGTGTAACACTTGCATGCCAAAACTTAAAAAACCCCTGTGCTTTAAAAGGATGGTTATTCAGCCCATTTCTGCTATACTTCTGAAGACTTTTAAAAGCAATCACAACAAATTCTCTTCAGATGCACTCATTATCAAATTATTATTTCACTTCCGTGTATGCCAGTGGTTCTCAAACCTTTTCCACTTGCGGCTCCGTTGACCCATCCTGGAACTTCCTTGGTGCAGAAAGGTAGCCATCGCTGCCACCTCAGCCTCTTCTCTCCTTGCACAGGTGAGCATCTGGGGACAAGGGTGCGGCTTTCACCTCCTTACATATTATTTTCTCAGTGAAAAATAGTGACAGGATGCTTCTTATTGATTTTTAAGAAATACAGTTATATGCTAGATTAAGAGTGAGAGGGAGGTTGCAGCGAAGAATAAGAGGATTCTGTGGTGTCCCTGGCTGGGTTTGGCAGTGCCCCAGGGTGTCATGGGACACTGTTTGGGAATCACTGGTGTATGCAAACCTTGACACTGCTGAGAATTTTGGCTTTTCAATGGAGCTCTTTGATCTCCTTCAGCATTGTTGGGAAATGGCGCTTTTGCAGGCGTATGAATCCAAAACTCCCTGGTATGGACAGAACTCGGATGTGGCTTTAGTTATGCAAAGATAAAATCTTTAGACCTGCATCTGTCAATAACATCCTTCCATGTGATCTGGAAAATATGACATAGGGAGAGGGCATATCAGTTCAGCACTTGCTGTTGAGCATGCTAAAAAGTTATTTCGTTCCCAAAGTCCTCAATAATCAATACGTCTATTTTACTGCATTCTATCTGATACACTGAAAGTGCAACATGTGTGAGCTTGTACCACCCTAAATCTGTCAGCAAAACTTCTTGTTGGTGTTGATGCAACAGATTAATATAGCTAGTGGACTTTTGGTAGAAGACAGTCTTCACTTGTGAATGCTGACCATTTTTATTTATTTATTTTATTTCTTTAAACTTGTGCCCCACTCACTTCATGGACAAGCCACTACTCAGGATGGTTTCCAGGAAATAACAAAAATAATCTATACAACTCTTTTTTTAAAAAATTGAACATATAAAAACGAAAACCTGTTTGGCGAACCATGGGCATGCATAACCTCAGTACAAAATTAACATTACAAAGGGGTGAGGTTCGTAAAGGCCTGGGTAAAAACCCAAGTTTTCACTTGCTTACGGAAGCTCAGCAGGGTTAATTAAATTAAATTAAATTTGTGAATGACAGGAGTTTCCCCAATCTCACATTTTGTATAAATAAAACAACAACAACAACAATAACACTCTCGTTCAGGTATACATATGTTCATTTGCCTGTATGTCTTGTTGTTTTCTGATTTTCACAAAACTTGCACAAGAATTCATTTTATTATTGATTGTGAGGAACAATTATATCCTGCATTTCCAGCAAAATAGTTCTCAAGGCAGCTAACTTTTAAGAAGTGACTCAAAAAGCAATACATATGTTAACACCATTCTTTAGAAGGATCTGTGAAACAAATTGCATGTACATGGATTTCCACCAAATCCAGCTTCATATGAATGTACCAAGTGATCACAGAATCATTGTAGAGCTGGAAGGGACCTTGGAGGTCTTCTAGTCCAACGCCCTGTCCAAGGCAGGAGACCTCATACCATCCTGGACTGAGAATTAGGGGGGGAAACACTTCTCTTGGGAAAACACAAAGCACCTGCTAACCCCAACTATACACTACAAGAATATAACAGTGGCCACATATTAAGGGTGAAAAGGATGCATCATATTGCACTACTATAACAAAAACAACAACAAAACGTTTATACTTTTAAAAAACTCAGCAGTCCAGTGGATTGATTTGTAACTTGCTAGTGTAGGACAGTGGGCGTGGTGATAATCCATGCCAATTTCAAGAGAAAAATGCTTAAAACACTGCTCAATCATACTGGTAGATTCAATAGGTGACTTCTAGCTGTTTGACAAGTTTTTGACAATTTGATCCCAAGAGACTTTCCTGGGATTGGACTTTGCAAGCCAGGTCTTCCATTTGTACTGCATCTTTTGGAAAAATGATTCTTTTGTTTTTGGTCAATGGCCATAGTGAGCACATACCCCAGCCAAGAAATAGTGTAACATGGAGAAAAGAATGGAATAGAATGACTGGCTAGCTGGCCAGCTGGCACTGAGGAAAGGAACACTCTGCACTGCAATATTTTGTTGTAGGTTCCATTCATATCTATTGCTGTTCAGGTTGATCTTCCACCCTGTTCCTCTAAAGGCCTTTTGGGGTTGTTTTTTTGCATTCCCTCAGAATTCACAAGCTCTTCAGAATGCCTCTGAAACATCCCACTGTCGTCTTTAAACAGTAGAAGGATGCACAGTCCTGACTTTTAGGCAGAACACACTCCAACACAAAGGCTGCAAACCAGAATGTCAAATAGCAGGCCTGCTGATTACGATGGCTGTCCTCATTCCCACTCTTTGTTGATGGGAAGGATTTGAAACATGAGGAAGTAGCATGCAAAAGGGAAGGTTAGTGTACAGCTGGTCTTAATAATCAGAACTGTGTGACAGATATTTATAGACATTTCTCTCGTAATTTTAGCTCACCCAGACGATAATGGTCAGGACATATTGTTCCACTGCATTTCCTTTGGTGGCTACACATGGATTTGAAGTCGACTAGACTGATGCTGTTCAAACAGATGCAAGACTCATAGAGCTAACCTCCGGTGTAACAACAGATGCCGTATTAACTTTAACCATAGGAACAAGCAATATTTGTAAGTATGGTACTGTGTGGTTTTAGAAATAGGCAAAACTGATCCCTAGGATTAGGAGAAGTAAAAGGCACCAAGAGCTCTGCAGGGAGTCTGGGTCAGCTGTTTTATCTGCATGGAGGGAAGAGACTGTAAGAGGGAACTTTAACGCCTTTGTGCCAGCTGAGGCTGCAAACTCCGTATTTCCTTGCCAGCAATTTGCATTAGAGAACAGATGTCACATCTGGCATCATTTGCCTCCTCTCCCACCCACAAGCTTTATACCATCTTTGCCTGATGAAGACTTCTGTTGGAACTCCAAATTGTGCCCTGCTTGTGCCTTGTTTGTAACATAGTGATCCCACTACTAAAAAAAACCCTCAAACCCTATTTAATTTTAGTTTAGCATAAATGAATAAACAAATTAGGGGATTTATATGAGGTACATGCACACACAGATTAATTTGGAAGGTGATCTTTTTTGCATGTGGCAGAGAGTTAGTTTACTCCACCAGAGATCTGTTTATTTCAACCTTGGACCTGGAATTGTTTCACTGGAAATTATTCAGCATATGCAAATGTCCCCCTCCCTTTTAAATTCCTGCTATCAGATACAGCACTATACCATATAGCACAAATTTAAAAAGATAAAAGCGTCACGGTCTGGACCACACAGCTGAACAGCTGATTCCCAGCCACCAGCCGGCCATGATGGGTTCCTTCAGGCCCCCATTTCTAGGCAGCAGCATTTTGGGAAGGAAGGGTTTAGTTTAGCATAAGTGAATAAACAAATTAGGGGGGTTATATGAGGTACATGCACACACAGATTAATTTGGAAGGTGATCTTTTTTGCATGTGGCAGAGAGTTAGTTTACTCCACCAGAGATCTGTTTATTTCAACCTTGGACCTGGAATTGTTTCACTGGAAATTATTCAGCATATGCAAATGTCCCCCTCCCTTTTAAATTCCTGCTATCAGATACAGCACTATACCATATAGCACAAATTTAAAAAGATAAAAGCGTCACGGTCTGGACCACACAGCTGAACAGCTGATTCCCAGCCACCAGCCGGCCATGATGGGTCCCTTCAGGCCCCCATTTCTAGGCAGCAGCATTTTGGCAAGGAAGGGCTAAGGAGCTGGGCTGTCCTCTGAAAGCCCTTTCTGAAGATGGGACACTTCCTCCCCCCCCATCACTGGGAAACCTCCTCCCATGTGCTCATTCATGGGCAGCCACAGGCTTTGTTCTGTTTCCCCTTTTCCTCTCCCACATGTGGCCTTTGCTGTGCTCTGGCTGAGACGGGACTGCCTGCCTGCTTGATTTCTTACCCACTCATCTGCCCGCCCACTCACTCACTTGTCTTCCTGCCCTGCTTGCTCGCCCGCCCACCCTGCTTGCTGGTCCATGGTATTTCAGAAGATATCTTAATCTGTAAATTATTTAGTTCCTATGGAGCAAGGTAGCTAGCTAGGTAGCTGAGTGGTTTAGGTGCATTGTTGCAGAGCCTAAAGTTAAGAGTTTGATTCCCCACTGTGCCTCCAGGGAGAAGAGCCAGCCTGTGTGGCCCTGGGCAAGCTTCAAAGTCCTAGGGTGCCCCCCGCCCAAAGAAGGGATCAGTAAACCACTTCTCTCTGTGTATTTGATACCTACAAAACCCTGGGTCACCATAAGTCATAATCAGCTTGATGGCACACAAGTAGTATGGAGCACAGTCATGTTAATTAATATTGTAGAAAACCCTGATAGGGTCACCATAAGTCATAATCAACTTGATGACACACAAGTAGTATGGAGCACAGTCATGTTAATTAATATTGTAGTGGTGTCATCCGGTGCCTTTACAGATGATGTTAAGAACTACATTAGAATTTCCCATATTTGTAAATCAAAATTTTAAAACTACATAGACTACAATGTATACTCAATTTAAAAATAGTGCTCTATGCTTCTTTTTTACAAAATGCAGGAGTATCTATATATCAGAGAATTTTCAAATTCTATTAAATTATGATATGACTAAAAGCCAGACAGACATCCAGAGGTGGGGAGAAGAGCACCCTCAAAATACGATAGCATAAATACACCCATATCTCAACTATATATATGTAACTTAATTTTGTTATGCCTAACCAGAAGCTGAGTTAGGAAGGGAAACTCCCTGAAGAGGAAGGACAGGTTACAAGTGTGCTACATTCATTGTGGATATTTTAATTCAGAAGTGCAGAAGCATGTTTGACTTTCCAGTGTTGCATATAGGAAATAACACATTAGTATGGAAGGTATGAGTTTCTCCAGCTACTTCATTCCTTATCCACATCTTGCTCAATGGTCATGCACTGGATGCTAACAATTTCTGTTATGTAGTTACAAATGCATTGTAGTAGCATATACCTGTTTAATGCAAAATTTAGTAGATAGATCACATGCAGATTCCCTTTTGTTTAATAAGACAGAAATAAAGAAATTAATGCTCTGAATCTCCTTTTCCTTGAGATCTATTATCACTTTATTAAATTCAAATTTATTGCTGAATTCCTAGCCCCCACAAGAAATAGCTGTTAGCACACTATAACATAGAGCATAAATTTGATTTCACTGAATCAAAGACATTGTTAAAGGGAAAAAATGACTTAATGGTCTGTCTAACCTCATAAATCTTCTTATTCATATAAAGCAAAACGACAAAATTTATGTCCACTAAAGCATAATATTAATGCAGTCAGGGTGGTCGGTAGTCAAAACAATTGCTTTAGTAATCTGATGTTTAAAAATTATGAGGTCCTATATAAGGAGATATCTAGAAGGCAATATTTAAACCAAAACGCTTTGCATGGAAGAGAATTCCTGAAAGCCAGATATTAGGAGACTCTTGCAATCACATTTTCCCACAAAGTTCTTGAATAAGAGGTGGAATCCTTTGCTCACAGAACTTCTTTCCACATTATACAGTGATCTGGACAATCCATATTAACATGTTCCCTTTCTGCTGTCCATTACATGGATAGAACTCACTTCTTTCTGGAGGCAAACTTAGTAAGTATTTAAAAGTGGTGAAAAATATTTGTTTGTCCATGCTATGTCCTTTTCTTGACCCAAGCATCTTGCATGTAGCTTGCATTGTTTATGGAAAATAAATATGGTATAAGTGTGATTTCTAAGATATAGTATCTCTGAGATCATCCCATTATGCAATGGAAAACATGTTAATAATAGAGAATACACATTACTGGTAACATTTAGTTTGACCCAAAGTTCCCCTCAACTTGGAATGAAGGTGGCGCTCCACATCTTTCTCTATTCACATGAATGTGTATGTGCATTAAGACAATCACAGGGATTAAAGGAATATTCCCAGAACTGTTGCTCCCGTACCTGTACAGCAGATGTATGCACTGTGTCTCAACAAAGTGGAAAATAACTTCTCTTGAATGATGTTAATTTTAACATATATATACATTAAAAGAGGGGGAGCAAAGACTTGTTTAATATAACAACAACCTAGCCCTGTATATTGGAAATGATTAAGTGTTGGGAAGTTAAACATCAAGAATTGGAAGAGAAAGAAATTTCATTTCATTTTGGTTTTAATCCAAATTTATTAAAATAACAAAATTACTTCCAAATATTTAATATGGGGGAAATGGAACACTAATAGATTTCCCCATTCCTAATCAGGAAAGCTCAACTGCTGGTTAAAAAGAGGGAAAGAACAAGAAACATGGAATAAACACTTAAATATAAATTTATATGTTCCACACCAGGAATAGAAAGACTTAGATTTTCAGACTAGAAGTTTGTTTTTTGGATTGACCACACTAGCTGTGGGATTTTACAAGGTGTAGTCTAGACAAACAACATTACTCATTCCTGCTCCACAATAAGAGAAACAGAAGGCTCCTCACATCCTGGCTGTCCATGGATAGTTGGGTAATTTGTCAACATCAATCCCTCTGCATAAATGAGATAAGAGGGCAATTCAAGAAAAAAGGGGGCAAATATCAGAAGAAAGTGGGAATAGTTCTGGGAAGGGATCACAAAGAATTATCTTGGAAACCAATTCAAGCCTGGGCTAGTTGTAGAAACTAGAGATATACAGGCTTCTAAAAACAAACAAAGAGCAAGTACCCAAACTCAAAGGCTTCAGAAGAAAGAGTACATAGGCACAATGACCTTGAGGCTGTATTTCAGATGGGGCTAAAGAAAGGGATAAATGCTGTGATGTTGGAAAGTAAATAGCCATATTTTGGGAAACAATTAGCTACTAGTGTTCAGAAGAAAAACTATCATGAGGTTTACCTAGATAATACTCCAGCCTGTTGATTTATTAGGGGCCAGAGGGGAGGTAGGAGAGAGAAAAGAAATATGCAGCATTTACCCACCGGTTTTTAAGACATACAAAAAGAGAGAGATGTCACTGTGGGAGTGAGTGAGAAAACGTTTGTACACATGTATGTGTTTGTGAAGACTGTGGGATCTGGTGGGCACCAAGGGATTTGCTTCTGAGCCACATGCAGAGCACACATCCTTCCCAGCCTTAGGCAGTACAGCCCTCAGGCATCTGAGGTAAAAGTTCAGAACTCCTAAACTGCAGATCCATCTTTGGTTGGCCCCTTTCTTCAGTTTTGTGTGGTTTGCTTTTTTTAAAAAATGCACTCATCAAAGAGAGGAGTATCTCTGAATTGTATAAGGAAACACGAAAAGGAAAGTAAATTGAGAGGAAAGTTAAGATTAACGAGTGGAAGTGCATGACTTGGGTGCCCCTAAAACACTTTCTTCAGGATTTCTCAATACTACTCAAGAATGTGGAAGGTGGTCTCCTGCCATTTTCAGAGCTCTGAGAATGCCACTGAGAAGATGGAGAGGTGCTTTCTGAACAAAAAGGGAAAGTAAACTGAGAGGAAAGTTAAGATTAACAAGTGGAAGATGGTCCCCTGCCATTTTCAGAGCTCTGTGAATGCCGCTGAGAAGATGGAGAGGTGCTTTCTGAACATCTCTAATTCTCACTGTTTCAGGAAGCTGTAGGTGATGGACCAATATTGTCAGCTACTCACATACTGCCTTGCAAACATATATGCATAGGGACATTCAGAGTGTTGCAAAATTGCAGAGGCAGTCCAAAACTTAATGTTAATATTGATGAAGACCAGATTTTCACTTTGACAATTAAAATCATGACACTGACATGATTTTCGGTGATCCCCAGTCATTCAGGTCATTATTGATGAAGAGCTGAAGACCAGAATTTCACTTTGACAATTAAAATCATGACACTGACATGATTTTCGGTGATCCCCAGTCATTCAGGTCATTGTGTCTCATCAGACCATTATTTGCAGGTGCTCACTGAGTGTCTGATACTAGAATAGTTTCTGTGCCAAGCTACAGCTTACAGAACAGGAATGAAATTCACTGAAGCAACATGCACAAACAAATATGCAAGGTCTCTAAAGAAATACCAGTTTCTCTGAGCTAGGCAGTCACCTGCTGGCTATGTTAATCCTGCCTAAGGGAAAGAAGGCTAGGAGGGATAGGATAATCCCAGGGTCTTGATACTTGGAAAGGTGCTATGCAAGTTCACCAACCAGTCTTCCCTACCAGACATCAATAATATGATCTGAAACTATAGGGAGGGAAAACCATGTGAAAACAGACACAATAAACATAGGGAGGGATTTGATCAAGTTCCTACATTGTAGAAGCTGAATTGATATTAATCTATAGGAAATGCACATACAGTGGTGCCCCGCAAGACGATGATAATGCATTCCATTGAAATAGCTGTTTAGCGAAATCATTGTCTTGCGAAAAGTGTTTACCTATTGGAATGCATTGAAATCCGTTTAATGCATTCCAATGGGGAAAATAGTTGTCGTCCAGCGAAGATCGCCCATACGGAAGCCATTATAAATTGCTGTCTTGTAAAAGAAAACACCCTAGGGAAGCCATTTTGCGGAGCTGCCGATTAGCTGTTGAATTGTCCTCTTGCTAAGCATCGGTCCCAAACACCCTAGGGAAGCCACTTGTGGAGCCGCCGATCAGCTGTTAAATCGTCCTCTTGCTAAGCATCGTTCCCGAAAAAAAAGCATCTGGGGAAGCACGGACCGAAATGTCATCCAGCAATATTCCCCCATAGGAATCACTGTTTTGCGAAGCGCAATGGCGGTCGCAAAACCTTGTCGTCATGCGGATTCATCATTTTGCGGGGTCATCGTCTTGCGAGGTACCACTGTATATATTTCTCATTACATCAGACCTCTATGGTATGTGACAACCTTCGTTTGAGAGAGGATGATGGATCTAATTTCCTACTCAGAAGTTATATAAAGGTAGGAAATCTGTTCTGTGTGAAGCAACCCAGTTAAAAATGGAATGTGTTAGTAGTGTTAGCATTAACACTTTTAACCCTTCCTTGAGGAAGCACTAAGCAGTTTAGGGGTTGGTTACACATCAAAACATTTCTGGGTTTTCATTGGGTTTCTGTCTGTGATGCTGAACTAGTGCTATCCCAGTTTGAAAGAAATAAAAAAAATATAAAACAAATATTAAAAATAACACTGGTGGTGGCAACCCAAGTGGTTGTGAGAGGCAGCAAGTGCAAGGGTGAGTGGGTGCAATACATCCTCAAATGCAATGAGTCTGTGTTGCCATCATGTTGGCTGCCTCTCACAGCCACTCACTGTTGCCGCTAATGGTGTTTCCCCCTCTTTCTTTCACACTGGGATAGCGCTAGTTTAATTTTACAGACAGAAAAAAATAACAGATTAGACTTTAAGGTTTCCCTGCAGTCCAAAATCCGTGATCCTGTCATCCATTACTTGATAAACCCCACACAGTTTAGCACACTTGCCAACATGTGGGTGGGAGGGACAAAACCTCAAATGGAATGAATTTAAAGGCCTGTGTAGCCCCCTAAACTATACAACTGATATACAAAGAAACAGCTTAAAAATGGATTAAAAGATTTCCCAAGAAACACACATACCGACCCCAAAACCATGTGACTACTACGTGACTTTAAATTGAGTTCAAAAACTCAGTCTAGTCCATCATCTGAAGTTACCAATATAGCTTTTATGGGGGAAATTGAATGGGAAAACCAGAAAACATATTGAAAAGGATATTTTTCCTAAGTTTTTGTTTTCCTTGGATCATAGCACTAAAAGCTATATGGCCATTTTGATATATATATATTCTTTCCTTTTTGATCTTGATTCTCTAAAAAGGGGGGAAACCCTGTTCTTGAATAGGATTAAGCCCTTTAAATACAAGGAAACTACCTTCTTCTAAATATGGATCAGTTGAATGGAATTAATAAAGATTATGACCCATATCCTCTTGTATAGGATTTTCCCCATCACTTATCCCAGCATAGGAAACATGATGTCAACACACCAGCAGATTACTGCTAATTAGAGCCCCCACTGCAATTTCCCATGCATTTTTTTTAAACACATGAATTGGATAACTTTGAATGCAACCTGAAATTTAAGTGTTAACTCTTTTAACAGCTGGTAAAGTGTTAAAGTGTTCCCACTTGCATTCTTGGGTTGCATGTGAAGCTATCTGCCTGTCTGACTCTTGCGCAATGATGAATCACTTGAAGGATTGCAATGGAGATGCTCATTAGCAATGGCCTGTTGCTGCAGTGACATCATTTCCTCTGCATTGGAATAAGTTACACAACAGGATTTTGGTCTGTATGACTATAATTCAATCTGTGCTGTAAAGCTGATATTTGTAAATGTTGACAATATCAATGTGTCTCATTTTAGCTTTTCCACACCACTAGTGATGTACTGTGTATAGTGTTCACTTGTGGTGGAAGTTAAGGTACAAAAATAGTGTTTTACTCTGTGTTTTGGGTGAGGAGGGTGTTGATTGTGTCTGAATCTCTTTAGTTCTGGGATACAGACGTACGTGTCACATTTTGGCTTTTTGTCTCTTCAGGGAATTGTTTTTGAAATGTAGGAAAGACAATAAGGTCAGGAAAGTTAATGTATTTGTGAAGGCTTTCACGGCCGGGATCTAATGGT